TGCGATATAGCTCTCCTCCGCAATTCCTCAAACGAACTGTGGCCTGCTCAGGAGTGATATCACGCTGAGGCTCTGCCAGCAGCTCATATCCAACCAGGAACTTCTTGACCGTGGCGGAGCGTAGTAGAGGTGGGTAAAAGTGCATGTGGAAATATGCGCTTTCCAACTCCTCTGGTGTTCCGTCAAGAGGCGCCTGGTGAAGACCAGAACTGTAGGGAAAGTTGCATTCGAACAAATTATCGTATCGTCGGGTGACTTCTTGGATGGCTTCGGCGAATTGGAGTCGTTCCTCGGGCTTGAAATCGAGAAGAGATCGGATGTGTCGTTTAGGAAGAACAAGAACCTCGAACGGCCATACAGCCCACCATGGGCATACAATGACAAACGCATCGTTCTCCCAGACAACTCGTTCTTGCTTCTCAAGTTCAAGCTTAACATAGTCGCCTAGGAGGTGTCGGCCGCCGTGTTGCTCTCGGTACTTGCTCATTTGCACAAGCTCCTTACCAGGTTCTTCGGGCATGGTTGATGTAGTCCAGACCTGGCAATGAGGATGAGGGTTAGAGCAGCCCATAGCAGCACCCTTGTTCTCAAAGATCTGCATATATCTATATTGCGCCTCAGGAGAAGGTGCAGCGTCCTTTGGCATAGAAATGGCCAGCTTGTCAGCTTCAGCGGCCCGGGGGTTTGACGGTGTCAGATGGTTGGCGTAGATTCGAGTCCAGTGCTCAATGACGGGAACGATCTCCTCAGCTGTCATGTCTGCAAGTGTAACGTGGTGCTTGGGTGAAAAGGTGAGCACGTAACACACGCCCTTGACACCCTGGGCTTGAAGCAGAAGAGATTCCAGGTCATTGGATGAGGCTTTCGCATCATAATCTGGCTGCTCTTGCTTAACGGCGCTGTAGTCGTTTACGAAGGCAAAAGTCTTTTCGTAATTGGGATTTTGGTCGCCAGCGGCTCGTGGATTACCGGGACAGAGATAACACTGGTTTTGTCAGGCGATTGAGTTGTTATGATGTGATGTCATGAGCGTACTTTGGGGTCATATTCTGGAAGTTTTGATGCGACAGCAGCCTCTTGCTGGCCTCTATTTCATGTCAGACGGTTCCTGATCGGAGCATGAGAAACTCACTGCCAAGGTCGCTTCGTGCGATGAGGCGATACAAGCAGCCATGAGTCCGTGAGGGGATTGTATCGACGGTGAGAAATGTCGTCAAGAATTTGATCAGGCATGATGATAGTGGGGTGACAAGTTGAAGTGAATGAGGGGTTGATGAGAGTCAATGAATATTTAGAGAAGGGTTCAGCTTTAATTTATTGCTGCTAGAAGCCGAGGCTAGCGATAGAACATACATGATAAATAGCTAACTAACAAAGACTCCCCGGCGATCCTGAATGGCGCGGTTCAACGGTGATATTCTCGGCTGTGTTTTCGGGGGAGTCTTTTTCCCAAACCAGATGTCCCCAATATTGAATCTCCACAGTCTGGATACGTCAAACTCGTCCTTTAGTGGCCGGAAGGATGTCAACATGAATACGTTGAAAAGAATCCCAAAAGTAGAGCAACTTACATGAGTCTTATTGCGATCTAGAATGGCAGTCCTAAGTTTTATGGTCTGTATGGCGGTTCGAACATTCTGGAGAACCAGGACCTTTTGGCACCTACCTCAGATATCTGAGTTACTAGATTGCTAAAGGAAGGGGAAAGACTTACGAGCGGCATCCTGGGCAACAGCACGTTCATATAAGAATCGACACATTTCCTTAGAAGATGGGTATCGGCCGTGAAGTCGAGGGTCTGCCGGTGGTGCTAATAGCTTTGGAGGCGGCGGTCGACGACATATTCGTGAGGGACGAAAGAAGCGAGAGAGTCTTGAAAATATTGACATATCCAAATACATCGAGTGTCAGAATGGTGATACTTCTCTTTATATGCATTTATCCTGTAGTTTTTGGTCGACATAGTTGTGCAGTGCCTAAACTGTGAACTAGATGTTTTATTTGCAGTTGACATTTGTGGCTCAGAGCCTATATCACGATTCACCACACAGAACTCAGCGTCTCTCCATACACCGGCCACTGAACTGAAGCATGAGTTTGTCACTTCCAGGCCGTGGAGACTCACGCTCGTATCGGGTCTCTAGATGCCAGAAGACTTAGGACCTTACATCAGATGAGAAACCAAGCCAAGGTATTCAAATAGTATAACTAAACTTATCCTAGATTATCCCAAGATATCCTGAGGTAGTCTTGTCTAAACTTCTCTGTTGCTTATTTAGGACTCGACTCTGAAGGTTTCTGCCATCCCCACGTCACTTGCCCATAGCGGGGATATGCGGCCCGGGGGGACTTCTTCCACGTGACTTATGATGATTCGAGCATGTGTGGGGTTGCTGCTAGCGGCTGCTGGCTCCCCATTCGAAACAACCTAATCCGCGCCCTGCAAGCTCAAGTCCAGTGCACTTCAAGCCCCAGCCCAGCTCCTGTCAGAGCAAGTGTAGATGCCATAGGCAATCAACAACATCCGCCCCTCGACAAATCGACCCATCACCGATTCCATCAACAACCACCTCAAACCGACTTTTTCCATCGAATTTCGCGTCGCGTCATCGTCCCCAACAATCGCGCATCACCAAAAACCTTCTTTTGCTCTTCCATCGCGCCTTGCGCTGCCTCGAACCCGCTGCTACTTCTAGACAGGGGGGTAACGACAAACCTCCCGGCCCGACATCGCAGTCGGCGATATGGGTGTGATACGCAAGAAAACAATCACAAGAGGTGGCGAAGGTGGTGTTAAGTACGTTTGCGATGTTTGCTCATCAGATATTACATCTACGGTAGGTCATCTTGCTGTGTTGCCTGTTGCCTGAAGCTTGTTTGGAAACGTAAAGACGCGCTTCGGAGATATACCGGCTAAACTTAACTCAATTCGATGTCATGATGGGGTTGCTAATCATGTTGGTGTTGACATAGGTCCGCATCCGATGCGCCGACTCCGACTGCAGTGACTTCGATCTCTGCGTCTCGTGTTTCGCCAAAGGTGAAGCAAGAAATGCTCACAACCCTGCGACACACGCTTTTCGTGTGATTGAGCAAAACTCATTCCCCATTTTCGATCGAGAATGGGGCGCCGACGAAGAATTACTCCTCCTCGAGGGCGCTGAAATATATGGCCTCGGCTCATGGGCCGATATCGCAGATCATATTGGCGGCTTCCGTGAGAAGGACGAGGTTCGCGATCACTACTTATCGACTTACGTCGACTCGTCTCACTTTCCACTACCCGAACGCTGTAGCCCTCACGATTGCGAATTGGCCAACGAAATACCCAGAGAAGAATTTCAGGCACGCAAGAAGCGGAGAATAGAAGAGCGACGAGATGCAGCTAAGAACGCACCCGCTCTACAGCCTAAAACAAAACCAACAGCTAGTGTTCCTAGCTGTCACGAGATTCAAGGATACATGCCTGGTCGTTTGGAGTTCGAGACCGAATATGCAAATGAGGCAGAAGAAGCTGTCCAATTAATGCAGTTCGATCCAGGTGATGGGTTGAACCCCAGGACAGGCGAGCTTGAACCTGAAATGGAGCTCAAGCTTACAGTGATGGACATTTACAACGCTCGACTGACACAACGTGTTGAGCGTAAAAAGGTTATCTTTGAACACAACCTTCTTGAATATAGAGAGAACACAAAGCTGGAGAAAAGGCGGACGAAGGAAGAAAGGGATTTGCTACAGAAAGCCAAACCATTCGCCCGCATGATGAACCAGCAGGACTTTGAGGAGCTCAATCAAGGTCTTCTTGATGAACTTAACCTGCGACAAGCCATTACGCAGCTACAAGAGTGGCGGAACATGCGAATCGGCGACCTTCGAAGTGGTGAAAAGTACGAGAACGAGAAAGCTTCGAGGATCCAGAAGGCAATCCCTATGGGCTCCATGGATCGCGAGCGCCTGGCATCTGCACAGAGGTCTAAGCAACCTCCTCCTCCTGAGCCGCCAAGTGGATCTGCTCTTCTCATCGCCCCAGAACTTCCTGCTCGGCTGCTACCAACGCCTGCTGCGGAAGTCAATGGCGATGTAAAGCCATTAACAAATGGCCATGCGGATGGTCTCACCAATGGCCAAACGAACGGCCAGGTCAATGGAGTAACTAATGGAGTCAACGGAGTAAATGGCCACGCAGCTCCTAAGCAGAGATACACGGCCCAACCCATCTCGGGCGTACAACCAATGCCCATGACCCAAGACACCGCGCCAGACTTGCACCTCCTCACACCAGAAGAGGTCAAGCTTTGCGAAGTCATCAGACTGCAGCCCAAGCCATATCTTATGATCAAGGAGCAGATCCTCAAGGAAGCTCTCAAGACAAATGGCACGTTGAAGAAGAAGCAGGCAAAAGAGATATGTAGGCTGGACTCGCAAAAGGGAGGGCGCATATTCGATTTCTTTATTAATTCAGGATGGGTGGGCAAGGCGTGATCTGGTTGTTTACTGTTTATAATACCCTTTTGAAGACGAGGAATGGAATTGGCGCTGAGCGTTTGCTGGAAATTATGTGGTATATGTTATGCTTCTGTGGATAGATGTCACCAATACAACGTTTGAAGAATTAGCTACTCATTTTCGAGGCTCCAATTAGAATTAGACGCTATTGGACTTGTCTTGAGTCGTTAGAGGGCATGAGGCCTCGACCCTAAGTGATGGAAATACTTGGACCAGTACGGGATATTGTAGTATCTGTTCCATAGGGGGTCTAAAACTTTCGCCAGTTCATAGTTTTATGTGGTGGGTTTATCCATTGGACTAGTTTTATGGTGATTTGTCTAGTCTCCTGACTCTCATCTGCCTCCTGATCCAAGTCAATTGCAACTTGGCTAGTATCTACTCAACCCTCAGAGTTATTCATAATGTGTTTCTTCAAATGAACCGCATCATATGCAATGATTAATGCAACCCTCGGCATCTAGGGAGTAGCAGCGTGGTCCAACAGATTTGCATCAGCATCTTCGACAATACGGAGGTGGTGGTACGCGAGTTTGGTTACCAACTTTCGAGTTCTTGGTGTTCCTATCGGCACGTTCGTTGATGGGCCCTTGTTCAAGATCGCTGTCGTATGCTTGGGGAGGCGATGGGCCCGGAGGCGCAATGCCTATAGGCTCGGGGTACAAAGGGTACAGAGGATACAGAGGATACAGAGGCCCTTCGCTCGGAGGTCCTTCGCTCGGAGGTCTTTGGTTCGGAGGTTTCGATGTTGTTGGAGGGGGACGTCGGGGACCCATGAGACACTTGGCGAATATAATGACAAAACCAAGCGCAACCATGATGCCAATAATCCAGGAAATAATGTTAATGGTGGACATTCCTGGAGGGCCATCTTTCGATTGGTGGACCTGGTGCTGTGTAGGGACGTCCATCTTGGGCTTCTTTCGGTCCTTTGATTGGTGAAGTGATAAGGGGGGAAATAGTATAAATGGTGAAAGTTATCAAGTTTCTTTGAGCTGCAGTATATCAGATACCATTGGCATATTTTGATTGACTGAATATTGACTGTGAGGTTATTTGGTGATGAGCCAGTCGAAAGTTGAGTTGGGTAGAAAAGGGGGGAAAGGTAATTGGCGGATAACCTCGATGATATATGTCGTGGATTCGAATGATTCGGTGACCAAGTGACGAGAGTTTCAAGTTGAGGCTTGTGAGTAGCAGCAATATGAGACTTCTATTGACTCGAGGTGCATGTGGCTAAAGTGAAAAGATGGAGTTCCAAAGTCTGCTCACCCGCAGCAAAGCGCAAGCCTCGAAGCCCGGTGAGGTCAGGGGCTTCAACACCTCAATCAAGCGATTGGATACGTTGAATCTGGATGATACATCTTGCGTCCTGGGTTATAAGAAGGCGGAGGAGTACCAATAGGCTTATAAGGTGGAAGCTCAGTATCGCGAGATCCGCGAGAGGCGCGAGATCCACGAAGGGAAATCGGAGTGTAAGACGGCGTAGGCTGATGGATGATCTCTTGTTGGGGGGGATTGACGAAAATGCTTTCATAGTTTTCCTCCCGATTCACCACGACGTCTCCTTGCTCTTCATCCACAGTCTGTTTTTCTGATTTGCAGCCATAGATGCAAATCCAGTAGACGATGCCCATGATAAGGATGGTTAAAAACCCCCAGAACATTACCGCGGTCACCTCCATGATGTCTAGTTCGATTTAGAATAGAGGCGTTTTTTGGTGGATGTGAGTCGAGGCGTAATAGAAAAGTAGGGAAAGGAATGATGCTGTCATGGATATGGGTCTGATTCTCTTATATAACCCGAGTTGCCTCTCAAAGTCAATCCCCAGGCCAATATTTTATGGTATTTGAGTTACTGCACTGAAGATAATTCTCATGAGAAGATAAGTTTAAAGTTGCTAAAGCTTTCATTTTCTGGTCCTCACACATTTCTAACTCTATTTCCTAGCATATACTTCTGACTGCCTAGTTCCTTCCAATCACGAAGCCATGAACAAGTGTTTGTGCAGAGTTACTCCCAATCTTACCCAGTCACAGCGAAGAGACCAAACCCTCTTCCAGCTGATGACCAGATGATCAAATCCCGCGAATCGTCGGCTATGGTCACTTCGTAGGGTAAGCCCTAGAAGAGCATTCCGGGAATGGAGTGTTCAAGGGCCGTACGAGTAGGCCGAGGTTCAGGGAGAGAGAGGTGCGCAGTGGGTTAAATCCCGACGGCCTCTTCAGCGTCCTTTTCGTCTGCTCGAACATACGAGGAATCCCCGTAGTTTTCCAAGACCTCCCGGAGCAAGACGAGATGGTGCTCTTCGAATGCGCCTGGATAATCCTTCAACTGATAGATCGCATTCTCAAGATCTACACTGTCAGATTTCTTGACCCATTTCCACCCATATCTTCGACCAATACACCTTAAAAAGCTCCCTGTCACCTGCATGAGAAGGATGCACCCGCCAAAGAAGGCTCCCAGAAGCATTATGATGAGAAAGACATGGAGGCCATCGCAGCGGGCAGGCGCCTCTTCCTCAGACTGGCTGGTCTGAACACCAACTCTACCAGGAAAAGAAGAGGGACGGGTAGAAGTGCAGGTGATGTGGGCGACGCCAACTATAGCGAGACGACTTGGGCTCACAGCGTCGGTGGGTGAAGGGGACTCGACATTAGCTGGGGGGGCACTATGGCCAGGCCCCAACTTCTTGTCTCCCTTTTCGGTTGCCTCTTCTTTTAGCGGTGGCCTGTTAGCCTTGTGGTCTGGTCTCTTGTGGGTGAATGGGGTCTTGGTGGGAACAGGAAGACGAGACTTGGTAGGGATAGAGTCAATAGGACCAGTCAGAGGCCACCCCGCAGGGGGGTTCGAGTGTGGTGACTTGGTAGGGACAGAGTCGCGACCATCAGTCACAGGCCGCCCCTCAGGGACGTTCGGGTATGTTGAAGCAAGCATTTCGAAGGATGAGAGTTTGGAGAGGGGTTTGAGAAAAGATGGCTATATCGAGCGCACTCAAAGAATCGGATTGGGTAAGTAAAGATGGACATGTCATAGAAAAAGGCATCATTTTATAATACTTGGGTGTAAGTTTCTGGCAAAGAGTTCCTTTCTTTTGCCCTATTCTCTCTCGACCAATTATGGAGGAGTAACTTACGGCCTTGTTTAAAGTTAGGTTCTCGAGTCATCCAAAGTTTCAGTATGCCCTGAGAGTATATCAGAAAGCTTTTACAAGTGGTTCCGAAGAAAGTAAGTATATAAGTCCCTCCGGCTGACCGAATCGCATCCAGGGGACATAAACTCCTCAAGTTCTACGAAATTCTCCCTCCAAATCAGTTATACTTTTCGGCCTTTGATCAAAAGCTCTCTCCCCTCGACCGTAGCAATACCGAAACTGTTCCAAACCTAACCACAACTCATATTCTCCTTAATCAACCTGAGACCATCAGAACATCCGACCTCTCTCACCAATCATTCACTACCATCGCCATGTCACCCGTACCAGACAACATCGATCAGCTCCGGACTCGACATGCTCAGGAGGTTGACTTCTACCACCCTTCCTCGGATGAATATGGCACAGCCGATCACACACCCGAACTCTGCTGGTGGTCGGACCCAGCGGACACGACAGAGCGCATCGCGGTCTTCGCGATAGTGACGGGCGTTCTTGTTGTAATCATTTTTATTATGTATCTAAAAATGCGCAAGCTGAAGATGGCAGCAATGGTGGTTTAAGCTGGTTGGCGAATGGTATTTCTGTTAGTAGACCTTTCTTCAACAGTCTCTGTGCTATTGGGCTAACATTTTCTTCAAGTCAGACATGATGTGGAAGGGAGGCCACGACTTCTCTATCTGACGACGAATATACATCACCATCATCACAGTACTGCTATCGTTGGTCACTCTCTTTGCCTGGTCCGGTCTCTCGAAAAGTCTTTGTCAAAACAGTGGGAAGCATGAGATGGAAGTAGGGGCTCTATCGGAAGACTCAACTCTAACTCTGTATAAATCAATAATTGTCCCACAAATCCTTAACGTATCCCTCTGTCAATCGTTCATCTTCTCCGTAAACCTCTTGCCATCCACAGAATCCCCTGTCCAGCACAAACACATCTTGACCGCTCTCACCCTTGGGGTCTTCACCCATAGACTTCAAAAGACCATCCCGCTCACGCAGGTACTTCAGTGCCGCACTCGGACCCCGCTGCTGACTCAGTGCGCAGTGGAACACAACTGTCTTTTTGTCCTTCAGGCGACGGACCAGAGTTGGCATCATGGCGTCGAGTGTGTGTGCGGGGATATTTGTTGAGCCCTTGATGTGCCCGCCAATGTGATCTTGAAAAGTCAGCTGAGCTGTCGCAGAAGCAAATAGGATCGAGAAGAAAGTTTTCTTTTCGGAAAAGGGGTTTGTAATGCCAACTCACCATTATCACGAACATCGATAACAGCGAATGTGGGATCTGTGGCGTTGACTTCCTCGAGGATCTTCTCAGAGAGGGATTTGGCCGAGAGCCGCTTGAGTGAAGCAATTGTTGTCATTGGGCGAGCCTGTGAACGGAAAGACGCGGCTATTCTTTGTAAGATTTTCATGCGAGAGTGAGGTTGAGTTGAATACTTGGGGAAAGGTACAGTACCCAAAATGGATCAAGATGAGGCTCATGTAGATCTGACTGAGGCGGAGCTAAATTTACTTTTTGGTCCTTGGCGGCGGGACCCCCCATGCGTGGCCAATCCTCACGGAGCAAGAAAGCATCAGTCAGACTTTGACAGGATATCAAGATAAACTCAATAAATAATATCCTAAACTTATAACAAATTACCTAAGTCTCATTATCACTTAGGACCAAGGTCCTGAGTTTTCTTTTCTTTTCTAGCTAATATCAGTGGTAATGATGGTGTTCTATAGCGTAGAAAGCAAATCAGGGGTATTGTTCCTTAGTCAACTTTATACTTTAATACTTTTATAAGTAAGACTTTACCTCGTATTAGGGTTTCTACGTGCTAGACTTTGCTCTTCTGTTACGAATCAAAAATGGGAAATCCTTGAGTCTGAGAAGCGAAACGCCGAGAGCAAGACCTATTAAATCAATATGACAAACTGTTATTTGATTGTAAAAGTCTCTATCTGGTAAGTTTTGCAACGAAAACTGGCTTAGCCTTTGGAGGAAACACCAATTTCTAGGTACTCATTACCTCTACAATGCTTTTACTGTATCACCGTGTAAGTGATTGTGCTGCCGTTACCCTGTAGTCACACAAGACACAGACGAGATCCCAGCTTTCTACCCCTGTAAAATGACATATGACGCACCAAACGACTGGGGCTGTTAGCTGACCATTGATCAATTCCGCACTGGCACAAACCTGGACTACAAATCCACTAACTAGACTAACAAACTAACTACCCGCTCAACCAAACACTCTTCTGTTGTTCTAGGCTCCTTGTTTGTTTTCATGACCTCTTTGTGAATTGTACGCTTGTTATGACCATCTCTGTTTGTATGCGACTGCCGCAAACGATTCGTACCGTAAAATTTACTGTCAACTCGCTACGACCACTTTCTTTACCTTGCACCACCAACTCAACATTTACCCCGCGACGATACAGACTGTACTCTACTGCAAAGATGGGCTCGCAACCGGAGAAGGAGAATGGACGTGTGGATCTTCGCCCTGAGGAAGTAATTGGAGATCTGGGTTTCACGCCTATGGTCAAGGTCGCCGACCCATGGACTGTTGACAAGGTGGTCAAGGAGATTCCTGGTGGTGCTCCCACTGAGGAGTCGTCTTCGCCGCTCCCTTTCTTCCACATGCTCGAGCGACTCAAGACTACCAAGCGAGAAGGATGGAGGCGATTTGGTATCTCTAGGTAAGGAAATTAGTCTCATGACTTCAAGACCTCACTGACATGCGATAGAGGAGAGTCTATCGCCGACCACATGTATCGCATGTCTCTAATCTCCATGTTTGCGCCCCCCTCTCTCGCCCCGAAACTCGACCTTCCCAAGTGCATGAAGATGTGTCTTATTCACGACATGGCGGAGCTACTTGTCGGCGACATCACGCCCGTCGACGGCGTTCCCAAGCCCGAGAAGAGCCGACGCGAAGCGGAGACGATGGACTTTTTGACCAAGAACTTGCTGCGAAATGTCGCTGGCGGCACTACAGGCGAGGACATCCGCGCGATCTGGCAGGAATATGAGGACTCTGAGACACTGGACAGTCACTTTGTGCACGATGTGGACAAGATGGAGCTTTTGCTGCAGATGGTGGAGTATGAGAAGCGCGGTGAGGGCAAGGTCGACCTTGGCGAGTTTGCGTACGTCGCGACCAGGATGACACTGCCAGAGATGAAGGCCTGGGGCCAGGAGGTTCTCAAGGAGCGGGAGGCATTCTGGGGAAGCAAGGAGCATGTCCATGGAGAGCAGGGTGTCGATGGAGGCGTTACTACTGAGCGAAAGGGCCAGCAGGATAACTACTACAACAAGGACTAAGTGATGGGATACGAATGTTTGGACTTATGAGAAGGATGGATGAATGATACTAATGAGTTGAGGTCATGGTATATGGCATAGAAGAGTTTGGACGCTGACGGGTTTTAGAGCGGTTCACGCGATATGAGGCATAGACTGAATAGAAGTTAAGGCAACGATCAACGATAGTAAGGCATACTTAACTCCACGAACCCGCCTCGTTGTGATGTATTTGAAGATCCCTGTGTTCATCATCAATTGCCTAGGACAACCAAGGATATTAAAGTAATTTAACCAAGACAGTATAGCAATGCAGATGAGCTCGACGGTCTAAACCTGGTATAGATAGGAGAGAAGGGAGACTTTCTGTCCTTTTGCAACTACGAGTTGTTCCTCTACTATTCGCTTTTCGATGCTCTTGGTTAGCTGAACCGTGCTGATCTCCATCAAGTGGACCAAACTCTTGGAATCAGCCACACAAGAAGAAGCTGGAGCTATAAGTCGGCAACAAACCGAAAGCTTGCCGTTCTCCGCATACCAACCATTCCTGACTGATTGCCCACCTGGACAGTCGCCAGATTTTGAGTCTTTTTGAGGTCTGATTCTCTCATCATACAGAAAACAGAGTAGAATACAGAGAGTACTGTGCTCTATCGCGGCTCTCGAGCAACTGCCGGGATCACTGCCAACTGACCAATCACACCTCGTCTCTGACGCTGGCCACAGGCGCTGGCCCCCCAACCATTGTTTACTTGCCCCGTCGACATTTTGCCGCCAGGACCATCTCTCTAGCTAATCCAATACATCATAAATCGATAATCGAGCCTCACTTTCAAGGCGGCATCTCCAAATACTGTGCGTGCATCTAAGGTGCCCTCCACTCTCACACGAGCGCCATACTTTTGGCTGCGTCTATTAGAGTTGGGCGCTTGCAGCCAGGCAGCCTCCCCCTCCATGCGCCCGTCATCACAAGACACAACCTGCTATCTCACCTAGTCACGAGGCGCTCAACAATATCGCCCATCGCTATCGCAAATCGCCCTCCGAGTATCGCTTCCTCGTCGATTGAAATCTCGTCTCTAGATCCGAATATTCGGTTTGATCTTACCCCAGACCCGCTTGTGCGATAGACCACCTGAGATGTGTCTCGGCTGCTGTTAAGCTTGGCCGTGAGTTACAGCTTCGCCTCCACTCGATAAGGCCATTCGTCTATCTATCGACCACGCGCGTGCGCGCACATACCGACCAAATCAGAAGGCCCTAACCCCCAGGTAGAATGACGATTCCTTCGCATTTCCACATGTCGGGAGGCTTCAATAGAGAAGGCGTGCACCCTGGCCTATTTCGCCCACCCATCTCACCAAGCTCTAGCACCAGCTATGGATATGCTTCACCCTACAGCACAGCAACCCCCGACGGACAAGCTACGAAACGAAAGAGACCTTGCCATGATATATCGCGATCTCAGGAATTTCGCTTCCAGGATGATTCTGATAGAAATGGCTATTTTGGAACGCCAGTGGCCCAGATGAGGAATGAGGAAATGCGGTACCAACTTGCTGGACAGCTTGATACGCCAAGTTCTGGTCCTTTTAATAGCGGTATTCTCGACGAGAGTATGTATTCGGACACAGATTACCGCAAGGCCCTTGGCTCAAAACGAACCCACGACGATGTCGATCATGGAGCTGGACCGACACAGCTGTTCAATCTGCCTCCTCAGCCGATGCAGTCCCAAGGCTGGGGTAGCTTCGCATTCTCAACTATAGGAGGTGTTGTTGGACGTGTATGGGAGTTTTGTAAAACAGGTTCATTTCGAGGTTTCCAGGCTGGCGGCGGTAAGGCCTTCACGATGAATTCCGGCAGGGTCGACGAGTTGGACCAAACACTATTTGAGAGTCAGCATCTTCCCGGCCGATTCCCGCCATCGCAAGAGGATTACTTCAACCAGCGTCAGTCTGATAACGCAGAACAAGGCGGCAATAGCGGCGCATCTACACCTACAGCACCCCATCCGAAACGAAGACATACAGACACGAAAGATGAACTTGGCAGGAATTGGGTCATGGTGAGTGATGAGAAACCAGCTGAGCCTGAACCCAAGCCTGAGCCTCCGCTGCAACGTCCATCTTATCGACCGTCCCCTCGATCACGAAACTCGGGTCCCTCCATGACTACAGGTCGACGCATCAGTGCCGCTCCATCAGCTCGATTCTCCTCTGCCTCTACGCCCGGTCAGCGACGATCTACTACCAATCGCCCGACTAGTCGTCTATCACACGCAGCAGCATCACCTTCTCCACGGCCTGCATCAACCGCGTCATTCGCGTCACTTGCTCCCCTCGCTTCTCCTCGGATAGAATCACCCAGCAGGATACCTCAA